AGGTAGAGCCCATTATCTAACTCTGTTAAGTTCTATTCTGAGATCCTCATTACATGATGTGACTGGGTCACATGTTGATGTTTTAAGAATCAAAGAATAGAGAGAAATCTTAAAGGAAGTATATGCTGATTCTGATCGCGAAGGTGGATTTCGATCGCATCAGAATTTTGAGCAGTTGCTTAAGAAGTTATGATATATTGCTAAGGAATAGATAACAACAATTTTCCATGTGGATTGTAAGGATAAGTTTTTCCGCAAAGTTTTAAAATAAAAGAAAATTGTTTAATTTTATTTATTTGAAGTATCCTTACAATGGCATTTGTGGAAAATTGTTGCTTATATGATTCCACTGACAGCAATATTGGAAAATGGATTTGATTCTTTCATTTGTGGTAGTGTCTAAATTTACCAAATCAGGAAAGTTCCTCATCACCCAAGTTTCAATTGGACCGAAACTTGGAATCATGCAAGTTGAATAGTATGATGAATGAGAACTTTCAAGCATTGGAAAATCAAGACTAATTACTTGTTCACATGGATGTGTGAGTCAAGTGAAGGACTAAAGGGATCGAGTACACATTCTTGTGCACTGGTCATGTCCACCACAAAGCTCGTTAAGACTATTTGATTTACTAAAGTTTAGTAAATATGGTTATACTTACAAGTTTAAGTATAATTCTGAAACATTGGAAAAGTCTCAATGTATGGCAGAACGAATGGGAAGAATCAAATTAGGCAGAAAGATAAAAGTTTCTCAAATCTGAAAAGATGGGAGAGTACTTTAGTATCATGTTTGTGATCATCTTAATGATTTAGAAATCATATCACAATTAGTCCTCTAAAGGTCATCTTAGTGCATTCTTATGACTAAGAAGAGGAGTCATGAATTGTTGAAATGGTTAGATCAGGAAGATGAGTCATACTTCGTTCCAAAACAATTCTTAGAGTCATACTCCAAGATTGTAACTTGAGTGACATATCTTAAAGAAAGGTTTAAAACACTTGTCAAATGTAAGAGTAAAAGTGTCCTACTCTTGTACATTTGAAATTGGTAAGTTGTGATGTTTTGGATAAAACAAAGACCAACTAAGGCCAATTGTGTGAAGTGTTTGTCTTGATAAAGAATCCGCACTATCTCTTGAATATTTGGCAAGATAGTCTTATATGTCAAGAGGATAGTGGGAGTCTTAAAGATCCTAAAAAGAATTTCAAGAACTAATCAAGAATAAAACCTGAGGTTCTTCACTAGCACACGACTTGAGGTTTATAACCTATCGTGTTGACATATTCTGTGCCCATTCCAGTTAAAGTTGGCTTTGCATAGGAGTTCTGAAAGTTCTCAATTGGTTGCATAACAACTTGGAAGCAATGGCAGGCCCTGTACTGCCAGGTGGCAAGAAGTTAAGATTGCATAAGTTCAGTCCATATGAGTTTGGATTTGTCATTATCCTTGTCTTGTGACTATGGTTTTGACGATTCACATGGATAAGAACACATACACCATAAAATCTAAGGGTCATAAGGTTTCTCTCCGATTCATGAAAATGATGGTGAGGAAACACTTCCACCAAGTAGATTTGAAGCAGATGGCAAAAGGTCTAAACAATTGAGACTATGATTACGGCATCCCTTTTCATAGTTCTGAAATTGTTTAGACACACATGCATGCTATCTAAGGAAAGGTGTATGATTTTGATAAAGTTTTATCAAAGCATCTCGTATCAGAAATCTGAACTTTGGTAAGAAAGTCAATAAAGTATTGATTTCTAGAAGTCCAGCTGATTTCTGAGTACATGTCAAAGCTAGTGGGAGCATAAGTGTTATGCTAATAATCATCATGTTAGTGGGAGCATGATAATTATTGTTAGTGTTGCAAGTTAGCAATGTTAATTATAGAAAACAAAAGTTTCAATTCGTGAGGCTGCAGGGATTGAAAAAGTTGTTTTGCTATAATTAAGGGAGAGGATATACTTCATTTCAGTTCTAAAGGCTTAGATTGAGACCTTAATCATCTTTAGTCAAGAATATATATATGAATTTCATGTTGGATTGGTTCAACTTAAGGAAATTCTATATATTGCGTTCTCAAAATTCGATTATGATTACGGCATCCCTCTTCATAGTCAAATTTTGAAAACATGGCAAATAAAAATATTGTAGCAAAAGACTGGTCTAGAATCATGTCTTTATGTGAGACATCATGAATCGTGTACCATTTGCTTTGGGTACAGGATCGATTGCATGTGCTATAATATTTGTCATTTCTAAATTTTTCCAAATGCCCAGAGGCATTAAGAAGGGAAAAGGTCTAGAATTGGATATGACTAAAATGATTAAGCAATTGTCGAGGACAATCTGAGGTTTACCAAAGATTGGTTGCTCAGGGACAGTTGGAAGTATAGTGCTAATTTTGGAAGGACCATATTGACATATTCTGAAAAGAGGCATCTCTTATTCAGAAGTGATAGTCAAAATGAGAATATGGAGTTGTCTCCATAGGTGGAAGTTATCTGTGTAAGATTAGAAAACTTAATGCAAGAAGCATGTCCAAAGCAATGTACTTTGAATATGAGACTTAGTTTCCATGGAGTTGATCTCCATTGGAATACCTTATAATGACTGTTGACAAGTCTTTGTGACTTTGTACATATTCATTACAGGAGGGTCAGTGCATATAAGTTTAAAATCTAAACAGATTTCGATAAATGATAGGAATTTGAAATTCTCACATTTTTCGATAAGGATTTGGGAGTGTGAAATTAGAATCATTGAAATTATGTTCAATTGGTTTATTTCACAAAGTAAGGATCATAGACAAACATAGAGTGCATACTTGGTGTATGGCAAAGCTATTGTTTAAGAAAAACATAGTGTACATGCTTGGAGCATGGGACAACTAGTGTTTTTAATTCAAGTATAAAGTTGATAAAACCGAAACAATGAATAATGAGTAATCAGTATGGTGATAAATAAAAGTGTTTATTTATATTCATAGGGTTTGATACCATATTTGATTCATTTATTCTTGTGTTTCACTTTGCATGTTTTGACTTCCAGAATAACTAAGTCGCTCTTCCTGAATGATTAAGTTATTCAAACCATCCACAGTCGGTCATATGTTGGAAGTAGATATGAATCAAGACTGTCATGGGTTGGTTTGTAGAGGTCCAAGTTGGTGGACAAAGTGGTGCTACAACACTCATGAGTGCTCATAAGTTCTGAGTATTGGATTCAACCCGCGCTCATTTGAATCACTTCATGGATTTTATCACGAGTGATCATGAGACGATAATATCTTATATTCTTCAAACCTAGAGATATGAGTTGTTACTATGAGTTGGTTATACATTGATTGCACGAAAACGCATTTGGTAACTCGATGTTATAAAACGTGCCTTTGTGTATGATTCAACAAGTAGTAGAACAAGCCATATGAGTCGAAGTTTATCCATTCCTTTTACCTTCGGGATAAAAGCGATATCTGTGGGCCCCTCGATGATTTAGCGATGACACATGTGAGTGCTTGGCCAAGCCAGGACTGATTTGATTTGTTCAATCAGTCAGTCATCATAAATCGAAAATCGGGAAACAACAAATGGACAGAGAGAATGATTATAATCCATGTCTCAGTCCATATGATATCTAGAATGGAGGAATATATGATCCCTTATCTAATGGACAAGTCATTGACAAGGTCAGAGTTCGACAGCGGCTTTAAGAGCTACGATTGCCAGTTAGGTTTTGAAGTCATACTCAATAATAGTTTTAGACTTATCCAAGTGGGAGACTGTTGGATTAATGTCTAAGTCCATAACTATATTTGGTATGTACTTGACCCGACCCGGCATGGTCCATTTGGGTTGCACTTCACCGGCACAATTTATATGGATAGTCTTTTGAGAATAGTATATTTATGATTTATATTAATATATTATAAGTTCTAATATATTAATATGGAATCATATTATTTAATTAGTATTGATCAAGAATTAATTTAGAATTAATTAAGTGATCAAAAAGAACTAATTAAATATGGACTCTTATATATATATGGAATGGGCCAAGTTCATTTAGGTTGGGCTAAGCTTTCATGGATGGTCCATGGAGCTTTTAACCCATGGATCCTATGTAAATGAAAGGTCATGGGTATTAGGGTTTACATGGATGTAACCCTAATCCTCCATAATATATAAAGGGGTCCTTGGCTCACAAAATTGGCACAAGTGTGTGAAAATAAGAGTGGGCCGATTTTAGTGTGCATACATATTCTCTCAAGTTCTTCCAAGGTGTTTTGGTGATTTGTGATTCCATTTGAGGCTTCCACACTATTGGGGCTAAGCTCTTAAAGCTTGAAGACATCAAGCTACATCAAAAGGTATGTCATCTACCTAGAACTTTGTAGTATAGGTGCTTCATAATATGCTAGTTAGGATGAAACCTTGGAATAGTTAATATTTACATGTATAATAGAGAAAACATAGATCCAAGGTTTATAGGGTTGCATGTACACCATAGGAGTGTTAGAATGCTCAAAAATCCCACATCAACAGCCGGTTTCTCAAGAGATGGATTCAGTTTTGTGCCAAATGCCATTGGAACCTTTACTTTGGAATCACCCGTCATGCCGAACTTCACCAACAGACTCTTCGTGTACGCTTCCTGATTAATGAAGATGCCTTCTGGTCCCTGTCTTATACTCAATCCAAGGAAAAGGTTAATCGGACCCATTGCGCTCATCTCAAATTTAGTCTCCATCAACTTCCTGAATTCAGCTGTTAAGCTAGGATTCGTGGAGCCGAAGATGATGTCATCGACATAAATCTGAACTATCATTAAGTGTTCGCCCTCTTTCTTGCGAAAGAAGGTTGGGTCAACCGAACCTTGTTTAAATTTTGACATTTTGAGAAAACATGTTAGAGTTTCATACCAGGCTCTCGGGGCTTTCTTCAAACCATAGACTTCTTTATCCAGTATGTAGCAGTGATCAGGATACTTCTCGTTCACAAATCCGTTTCTTCTAGTTCTCCATTCAAGAAAGCACATTTTACATCCATTTGGAAAACTTCGAAGTTTTTATGTGCAGCATATGCCAGAAAGATTCTCACTGATTCCAAACTTGCTACAGGAGCGAAGGTCTCTTCATAATCTATTCCTTCTTCCTGACAATATCCTTTCACCACGAGCCTCGCTTTGTTGCGAATTACGTTGCCTTCTTTATCTAACTTATTTCTAAAAACCCATTTTAAACCGAATACAGATACATCCTTTGGTGTGGGAATCAGCCTCCAAACACGATTTCGTTCAAACTCATCGAGTTCGTCTTGCATAGCTTGCACCCAATCAGAGTGATCAAGAGCAGCATTTACTGTTTTCGGTTCAATTTTGGAGACAAACGAATTAAACATGCAGAATTCTACTTGAGAGAATAAAGCAGCTTGCTTAGCCTTCAGTTGAGAGCGTGTGAGAACTCCCTCAGATGATTCACCAATGATTTGAGTTTTAGGATGATCCTTTGTCCATTTTATGAGAGGAGGGTAATTTGGATCATAGGCAGGATCCAACTCAGCATTTACTTCTACTTCAAGTTCTGATTCATCTTCATTCTCCCCCTCAAATGGCGAAGCGTATCCCATGTCAGAATCTGGATTCTCCCCCTCGAATAGACCTTCATCGGTTGGGCCTTGTGATGGATTCACCCCCTGATAAGGCAATTCGGTTGTTTTTGGTGTAGACGAACCCTCCCCCTAGAATATAGAGCTTTCTCTTGGAGGGTCATTGGTAGCTGGATGATCACCTGTTGCAGTAGGTTCGCTTTGAGTCTGCTTCTCGGTTGGTTGTTGAGTTCCGCTTTCCATGTCTTTAGTAGCTTCATCGATGATTTTCTTCAAGGTATCGATATTTTTATCTTCTGCTTTCGCTTCTGAGTGGATTGCCTTCTCTGGTTCATCAAAGAGCAGCATGTACTCTTCAAACAGATTGGACATGGGAATTGAGACTTTACCTGATTCCGGAAAGATTTCCTCTGTTGAACCTTCGCTTGCTTGAATCTTCTTCATGTAATTATCATCAAAAGTTACATAGTAGGTTTCTTCAATTTTCCTTGAGCGTTTATTCAGAACCCTATATGCTTTTGAAGTAAGCGAATAGCCAAGAAAGATTCCTTCATTTGCCTTTACATCAAACTTGATTTGGTTCTCTTTGGAGTTAAAAATAAAGCATCTTGAACCGAACACATGGAAAAACTTTACATTGGGCTTGCGATTATTCAAAATCTCGTTTGGAGTGATGGAAAATCGCTTGTTGAGGAAGGACCGGTTCTGTGTGTAACAAGCAGCAGCTATAGCATCTGCCCAGAAGTATAATGGAAGAGAAGCGAAATTCAGCATGGTTCGGGCAGCTTCACACAATGAACGGTTTCGCCTTTCAACGATCCCATTCTGTTGTGGAGTATAGGGAGCAGAGAAGTTGTGAGTTACTCCTTTTTCAGCCAGAAACTCTTCAAAGTCTTTATTTTTGAACTCTAGACCATTATCGCTTCTTATGTTTCTTACCACCTTTCGCAGCTGCAATTCCACTTGCTTGATAAAAACCTTCAGCTTGGGAGTCGCCTCTGAATTCTGTTCAAGAAACAAAACCTAGGTGAAGCGTGAAAAATCATCTACAATTACAAGTATAAACTTACTACCACCGATGCTTTCGGTAGCCGAAGGGCCACATAGGTCGATGTGCAGTAGTTCAAGAGGTTCGATGATCTTTGTATTGATACGAGAAGGGTGAATCTTTCGGCTTTGCTTGCCCATCTTGCATGCTACGCACAGATGTTCCTTGTCAAATTTGAGAACAGGAAGTCCACACACGTGATCCCCAAGCACCAGCTTATTAATATCTTTGAAGTTCAGGTGCGATAGTCTTCGGTGCCACAACCAACTTTCATCTGAGTTCGCCTTTGTCAGCAGGCATACAGCTGGCTTTCCTCTTATTGGGTTGAGATTCAGAGGATACATCTCGCCTTTGTGCATGGATTTCAACAGGACTTTCTTAGTTTTCTTCTCAATGATCTCCGAACCCTCGTCATCGAACGAAACCTTTAATCCAGTTCCCACAACCAGTTGAGAGACATTGATTAGATTATGCTGCAATCCTTCCACGTAAGCTACTTTACGAATCGAAAATTCGCCATTTTTAATCATCCCATATCCTTTGATCATGCCATATGAGTTGTTTCCATATTTTACACATCCACCATCCTTAAGGGGCCGAAACTCCCTAAGCTCTTCCCTCCTTCCTGTCATGTGACGAGAGCAGCCACTGTCAATATACCATTCGTTTTCAAACTGCTCGTCACTGATAACCTGCAAAATTAAGCAGATTTAGGAACCCAAAGTCTCTTGGGCCCTGGTGAGTCTTTTACAGAATAGGGAATTGCCAGAAAGATCAACCAAATATGTTCTTTTTATTAATGCGGTTTCATCTTTTCGTTTGATGGTGTAAACTTTGATTTTATTTTTATCTTGCTTCAATTGGGGTGTGTTATTGTTAGTTGGTTTTTCAGTTGAGTTTTTCTTTGGAGTCCTAAGGTTAGCTGACTTTTTCTTAACTTGTGCTTCATTATTAGAGACGAGCTTTCCCTTTCCTTTGATATCCTCCATCGGGTTTGGTTTTGGTTGCGAGTGAGGAGAATGAGATTTAGGACCGAAACTAGACTTTCGGTTCTTGGCGTAGTAAGAGTTGGGACCGAAACTTCCTTTTCGGTTTGTCTGACTTCTTGTGTGGCAATGATTGCTTGAAGGAGATTTGTCCCTTGATTTTTCATTTGCTTTGGGATTGGACGCCCTTTTAGAGTGAACATAATTAGGGTTTTGGGATTGCCAAAACTGTTTTCTCTCATTGAGGTTCTTCATGTATCTTTTGTTCCTCTGGCGTTTCTGTTCAGCAAGTTGCTCTTGAGATTTATGAATATTCGCTCTTGGTTTCGGTTTCTCCTCATGTTTTTCGGTTGTTGTTGAAGATATGCTTGATTCTTTCATTGGTTCGTTTGGTATCTCTTTCGTGCCGCTTGAACTTGGCTTATCAAAACTTGAATGTTTGTTGATGGGTTCAGCCACGTATCTACCCTTGACTATCCATGAGGTTCGCTCCGACAGGCCAACCGTTTCGTCTGCATTGTCTATGGGTGCAGACCAGAAGTAGTTGTCACAACCTTCAGCGTTATCTTTATCAACCAAGGAGGTCAACTCTGTCGTTTGTTTCTTAGTTATTCCTTCAACAGCATATACTTGGTTCGGCATTGTTTGCACCTTTTTGATAAACTACCGACTTTTCTTTGAGGACCTTGGACTTATCCTTGGAAATGCGAGCGCACTAAACGGAATTTTCAGATACAAGCAATTTTGCTGTTTCGGATTCGCTCTTGAGAAATTCTGAACAGTCAATCTCGGCCTCTACAGAAATTTCGCTCATTTCACTTTCTTCATCAAATTCAGAAGTGGTTTCTAAATTCATTTTATTTTCTAAACTTAATTTGACATTGGATGAGTCAAACTTCTGTATGGTCTCGGTTTTGATTTTTAATTTATCATTTTTGTCCAACAAATTCTTTAACATACATTTATGTTCTTTGGACTCAATAAAAGCCTTAATTTTGTCCAGTCCATATTTGTATGTCACTGAAAGCTCATATGAGGACATTATAGATTCACATTCAGCAATGACTTCGTCCTCCTTAAATTCAAGGAAAGGCAAAATCATTTTATGAATCTTTTTACCTATCTCACAATCTAGATGTAACTGGGTGATATTAGTATATAAGCGTTTAGCAATCAAACAGAAAACATTTCCTTGTTTTAAAAACTTCAAATTGTCTCGTTGCACATAAATAAGTTCATCCCTAGCCCTAACTAACTCTGACTCCTTCTGTTGTACCCACATCCTTCTCTCCTCACTCTTGGAAGACTCCCTGCTGAGTTGGTCAGTTAGGTTAGAATTTGCTAAGCGAGTTTGCATAAGACTGCCACTTAAGATAGAAAACTTGAATTTTAATTCATTTAATTCTTTTTCGTAGTTTGTTACTGGTATTTTAAGTGATTCTAGGATAGATTGTACCTTCTTAATCAACTGATCGCAATCGCTGATCTTTTCACTCACAGGCTTGGCAGCGAAACATTTGTCTTCCTTAAGCTTCGCTTCATCATGCTTACCTTCGGTTGTTACCATTAAGCATCTCCCAGCCGACTCAGTAACTCCTTCTCTCGCCACATAAGCTCTTCCATGCGAGGGTCTGCGCACCTCTTCATCTTCATAGTCTGTAGACCAGACTTCTACTCCACCAAACTCATCATCAATAACATGTTCCTGCATAAATTAAAGCATTCATAGAAACGTCAGCTGCTTTCTTCTTCTTTATCTCCTCCAACTTTCGCATGTGGTAAGCTTCGTCATCTTCATCATCTTTTTTCTCAGACATCTTTCTCAGCATGCAATCCTTAGCAAAGTGGTTCTTGCCGTGACAGTAGTTGCAGTCATATCCTGAATCTCCCACAAGCTTGCTCTCCTTCTTCTCATCGTCCTTCTGAGTAGTGTTCTTGCTCTCCTCTTTCATCTTTTCAGAGCTATAGCTTCCCTGCCAGTTTCGGTTCTTGCTGACAGGGAACTTTTTACGACCAAACTTCTTTGGGTTCGTTACCATCATTGCATATTCTTCATTAGTCAGATCGCACTCTGACATATCAGATTCTTCCTCTTCGTCTACCACACTCTTGCTCTTAGAAACAAGGGCCAGAGAACCCACACCCGAAACTACTTTCGCTTCCTTAGACACCACGCTTTCATGAGATTTAAGTATACGCATTAGTTTCGCCAGCGAGTAGGACTTAAATTGCTCATGTGCCTTCACAGTCGAGACCACTGCCATCCATTCGGGTCTTAAGCCATTCATGAACGTGACCTTTTGTTCGATCACCTTCCTTTCAATACCATACTTCATCATTTTGCTAACCAGATGGTTGAAACGATCGAATGTCTGAATGAGTTTCTCTTCAGGTTTTTGTTCAAAAGCACCGAACTCAGAGAGCAATAGGGTTTGGATCGAGTGCTCTAGATCCTCATCAGTCGAATATAATTCTTTCAACCTATCCCATATTTCTTTAGCTGTAGTGCATGAACTTACTAAACGGAAAGTATCGGCTTGCAAAGCGAATCTGATCTTTCTCATGGCTTTAACATTGCATAACACCTTGTCTTTTCCGTCTTGAGGGATCTTCTCTACGTCCACCAAGAGTTGGTTATACTCTTTTTGAGTCTTGATCGTTCTGTTCGTTCCAGATTGAACAAACGGATCCAATGTTATTGCTTCCCAGATAAGATAGCCATTGTCTTTAGATCCAACGACGTAGTCTTCAAAGTGATGCGCCCATACTTCATAATCTTGAGTATAGAGAATGGGAACCCTCGTAGTGGATCCTATACTATTGGAGATGTTGATTGGATTGACTTGAGACATGATGAAAAACTTCTTCTTTTAATCTGCTTGAATCAGACTTGTAAATTTGAAACTAGGCTTTTATCGAACACCAGATACACCGTCGACAAGAAGAAGACGGGTTCTATATATTCGATAAAAGCGGAAACCCTAATG